CTCCACTACGATCCCGGCGCAAATCCATTCTAAAGGATGAGTTGAATCATCCTTACGACCTCCCCCTTGGTTGGTCGTCCCTCTTCCTCGAGTTGAATCGGCCTTGGAAGCTCTCTCAGAGCCCCCTGTTCCTCCACTGGGCGTTCCAGTGATTCCGGGTTGGGGCAGTCCTTCGCCCAGTGCTCCTTCCGTCCACAACGCATGCAGAGTTCCTGCCTTCGTCTTCTCCACTTCTCCGCTCTTTCTTCGGAAGTCCATTTCCTCCTGGTATCCGTAACTCCTGCCCGGAGGATCGCTTCAGTTCATTCTCCTCTGTCCCTGCAGTGGCAGCAGTCCTCGCTCTCCCCTTGATTTTCGCTATCATAGGTTTCCTCTTCTCCCCACGCTGCGGAAGCCCTTTGTCGTCTGTCTTTCCAGTTGGACCTGTTCTGGAACCTCCCTGTTACAGCTGGTTTTGGATTGGAGGTCCAGACGTCAGCTGGATCTCGTTCCCTACGCAGAGGGGACTTATAAGGAGCTTCGGGTGCTAGCTCCAACCCGGGAAAACGGCTCAGCCATCCTTGCAGTATTTTTTCGCCGTGGAGGTTCCTCAGACTCTCCGCTTGTGCGCGTATGGCTCCATCCAACTTCGTGAATACTCAAGTCCATTCGTCGTAGGATCGAGGTTCTTCTCTTCCGGTAACAACCTGTAGAGGCAACCAGGGAGCTACCCCTTTCTTGAGGTATGTTACCAGGGCCTCGTCGTTAAACCCGGTCAGAGGTGCATATTCGTTGAAGCGAATGAAGAAATTGGCGAAGCTTTCCTCTGGCATCTGCTTCATCCAGGCCAATCTCCTCCTTGCCTCGTCCGCCTCGTCGATGGGTCCGAATTTGGAACTGAATTCTCGTTTGAACTCTGTCCAGTCTTCGAGACAGGTGTACTCCCCCCTCAGTCGTTGCCGATTCAACGTGTCGAAGTGGGAGAGTGCTGCACCAGTGAGGTGGCTGGCTGCCGAAGCGCACTTGTCCTTTTCACGAGCATAGATGGTAGGACGTACTCCAAGCATCCTTTCCAAACTGAGGACCCACGTCTTCCATGCAGACCGGTCGTCACCTGCGAAGCTTTCGATCTTACCAACGTCGAGCTTCGACTCGATGGTAATCCGATTTTTCTCCTCATTGCTCTCCCACGTATTCCGTCCCTCGTTGGGAGGTCTAGGAGCTACCTTACGATGCCAACCCTGTCTTGGATCGTAGTACCAGGGTTGGTCCGGGTCGTAGCGTGTTGGGGGTGCTTCAGGAGCCCCAGTGGGAAGCTCCTCTCTGTCCTCCCCCCTCCCTCCACCATTCCTACTCGATTGGGTGTGTTCCCCTTCATTGGAACCTTCAGAGTCATTATCACCCGGTCCTCCTGAGGGTGGTGGAGGAGGAGGAGGCGGAGGTGGTGCCCCTCTCCCGCTCCTTCCTTCCTATCCCCTTTGAGCCCGTCCCCCTCGACTCGGAGGTCGTTCTCGATCTCTTGATTGGCTCGAGAAGTGTGGGGGAGGTACTCTAGGAGGGAGGTTAAAGCCCCCTCTGCCTCCTCCACCGTCCTCCCTCCGGTCTCACGTACTCCCCGAGCTCTGCCCTTTGCACGCGAGCTCCCCATTCCTGAATACGCCTTCTATCCACACTCGGAGTGGCAGGTAGCGGGGCTGTTTGTCCCTCTTGAAGGTTCCCTTCCCTAACTCCCATAGGAGTTTGTCTGGTAAAGGATATTGGCTCCGTAGCTTGCCAGCTCCTTGGTTGGGGAACTACAGGAGAGGGACCCCCCCTCGTGTCCTCTATTGTTATCAAGGGCGCTTGCCCGAATATTCCCGCCATGTTTCCTGTTTTGGAAAACGGCCCATTACCACTAGTCGGTATTTCCCCCACTGCGAATCCTTTCCTTACTTCCCGGAGTTGTTCCTGAAGCGTCTCGATGACTCGGGCCTGTTGCTGGATCATTACTACTGACTCTTGAGAGTGTACCGAGTTGACCATGCCAGGTTGGTTCATCTGCGCTCCAAGGACAAGGGGAGATCCAAAAGGAGCTTCCTGCGGGGGTGCCGCCTCCTCGTGAACTGCCAACGCTCTTCGTTGGTTTGGACCCCTTTGATTTTCTGCCCTCACTGCCTGAGACTGCATCGATACCGACCCTTGATAGGGTATGACTGATGGATTACTCAGTCTTGGGGGAATGTGTACAGGGTTGGGAACCAACCGAGCTGTCAGATCGGGTCCGGAGATCCGGGATGAATGTTGCGCGCCATCCATCCTTACTTCGCCGAACTGGTATCGCTGCGTCGAAACTGGAGTTACTGGTTTCATTTGCAGGTTAACTCTAGGGGGAGGAGTCGAATTTTGAGCCAAGGCACGTACAGTGGGGGAGGTCCCCGAGCGTAACTGAGGGCTCCTCGTGGCCGTATTACCGGGGTTATAGACTTCAGGAACCTCGTTGTTTCTGGGCGATGAATGCTTCTGCCCCAGGAAACGTCCATCAGAACCACGGGGCTGCCCCTTCTGGTCGAATTGTTCCAAGGGGAACTCCCCTACACTCACTGGTTTGCATTGAACCATATACGATGTTCCCCAATTATCCGCGACCAGTCTGCGACGGAATTCCAAGGCTCTTTCCAGATTCGATCCAGAAAGTTCCTCCGACAGCATCAGAGTGTCTGATTCCGCTAGTAACGTCCGGTGTCGGGTCTCCTGCGAACACAACATCACTTCAGACTCCTCACTTCTCACCAGAAGCTGGTGCATGTGCCTCATGGGTGTGTATGTGTACACTGTCTGTCCGCTACGGACCCGGACAGGACTATCCTGATCAGACATTGACTCCACTGGGGCCAGGAGGTGAGCCATGGTGTATCTCCTGCGTCTACAATTTTTTGCAGCGATTGCGTTGACCTCCTTGCTGCTTTCTTCATCAATTTTCGCAGCTGTCGCCGCTAGGTTTGCGTTCTGAAGTATTTGGATCGCCTGGTAGTTCGGGATATTAACCCTTGAAGGGGGAGGTTCAAATTGTATGGCTTCTAATCTGTAGCTAGATGCTCGGTACCATATACGTAGCCCCTCCTCGTCACAGAATTCCTTCTCCCTTCCATAGGTATGAGGGAGGAGGGGGAGTATTCCCCTTGAGTTTTGGAACGATCGCCCGTAGCGTGCCTCTGCCTCTAACAATTCTAACACCCGCTCTGGGTCCAGTAGGACGTTGTACAACCAGAGGAAGTCCAATCGGTTTGCCGGGGTCATCAGCCACTGTTGCGCTTTCTCTGGGAGGTCTATTTCCAGTTGAGTTCCCACCGTCAGGAACTGTACCCGTAGGTCTGAAAATTCGACACCCTCTCCCAATGTTTCGATCCCCATCGACCCCAATACCTGCCGTAAGACCATAGCTACGTCCTCCGGGAGACACTCCTGGATTCTAATGACGTCTTCCATTCGCAACGTCATCTCTGACAATGGTTGTACTGGGAAGGTGGTCCTACTATGATGGAGTGCGTGAGTACGCTCCCAGCTAGGCGTATTCATAGCTGGACTCTTCAACAGGCCTGAGAGTGAACTTCCTCGTCTCAAAGGAGGAGGTTTAGGAGACTGTACTGGAGGAGTCGGTAGCCTCCTGGACGACGTCCGAGATTGTTCAGAAACTGCAGGTGATACCCTCCTCTCCGGAAGTTTCTCCTGTTGTCGTACCATAAGAGGATTTGTATTCTCCCCTTGTATCCTTTCGATAGCGGCTACTTGGCCGCTGACTCTTCCACCCACGTTTGAAGCTGACTCCATGTCTAGCTGCGGTACTGGTCCAGGAGGAGGTCCTCTCGTTCCCCAGGTAGGGGAGTAGGCAAAACCTCCCATGGGACTACTGGCAGGTTGGGCATAACTCATGGAGGTATACCTTTCTTGTAGTGGCCCCATCCCAGGTTCCACTGGAGGGGGCTCCTGAACCGCAGTTTAACGTCCCTCGGGGGTCCTTACGTTACTAGCGGTTTCCTCCCCAAACGACTGTTCTGGGATGGACATCAGGTGTTGACCAGCTGCCACCGTGACAATGGCGGAGCTAGCAGCCTGGTGGGATCTTTATGGCAGGGGCTCCAGTACCGTGGTGCTTGAAACGTCAGGCAACCGTCGTGTTACAATCACTTCTTTTCCATCTTATCTTTTTCCTTATCTCTTGTCTTATCTTTTATCTTTTGTCTTATCTTCTATCTCCCTCATCCTATATCTTGTCTTATCTTGTCACCTGACCTATTATTCATGCTTACTGATATAACATGCACTTTTCATTTACTTATATTAAACACAGCAGTCTCACAACACATATACAGCATGACAATCAAGCTTTCATTACTTACACATTGCTTTACTTATGTTCTACTCATGTTTACCACTAACCCAGGGCGTTGGGCAGTACTAGGGCAGAGGGTTGTTTACTTGTATATAAGCTGTAGTTACTTGCTGTATTTCCTTAGCTTTGATCTCGTCTATTCTACCTGGTTTAGCCCAGAACTTTGCTTGCTTCCTTTATCGTTCCACCGTCTGAGGTTTTCTTGAGTGTGACGCCTGGTGATACCTGTCACTAGAACCAGTTGCTGACACACTCGTCCTGTGTGTACGTACTAACACATAAACTACGAAAATGCACAAAAGAATGGAAATAATTAACACCCAACATCAAGGGCACATTTTCAATGGATCGGATAATCACTGATACATCAGCGCAGATCAGAGGAACAACAATTGTAACAAAATATTTATTTTTTGACAATAAATTTAGTTCAAACAGTCGGGGTGAGCAAGTATCATGAACTGTTGTTATCTACAGTTTCGGGTGGTCATCAGATGTGAATAGTATATTATATAGATTATGAAAAACAGAACATGGAGAAAAAATATGCAACACATTGTTGTGTTCAAAGTTTCCCCTCGAATGAAACTCTGAACACGACAATGTGTTGATTATTTGTTGTCCATGGTTCGTGAAAAAGACAATCCATAATAGCCCACCGCGAGGGTCGAACTCGCAGCCTTCAGATCAACTCAGGAACCCTCCCAAACGTAAAAGTCTGACGCTCTATCCGATTGAGCTAGGCGGGCCATATACACGAAATCCTAACTGCTCATAATCTACCAAATAATACAGTGACTAGACTCTTTTAAATACACTCTTTTCCTACAGTCGCCTACTCCTCCCAACCCCCAAGCCCCAACTCCCTATCTCTCTTTGCCCTCTTCATCATCTTCCTCATATCCTCTGTCATCCCCAACCACTCCCCCATCCCGCCAACCCTCTCTACGAGCTCCTCCTCCCACCTCTCTTCCATTTCTTCCCTCTCCTCTTTATCCTTCTTCTCCCACTCAATTTCCTTCCTTGTCTTCTTTCGAGGAGGCGGAGCAGGAGGAAGTGGCGGAGGTGTACGCCTGTTGGGGTGTAGAGGAGCAATCCGAGAAAGGAAGGAACGAGAGGACTTGAGGTAGGGAGAGTATGCGGTTAGGCTCCCTACTGCGCCGTTAAAAGTAGTGGGTGTGTTGTTTCCTCCTCCACTCCTATTACCCCCTTTAGGTATCGGACTCTTGAATTGAGAATTCGGCATAGAGTTGACTCGTCGAATGAGATCAGACATTGGCGTTGACTTGCGTGCGGATTTGGGTGCGATGGTGTACCGAGAAGTTAATGAAGGGTATTTGAGATGCTTTTGATCTAGAGTAGGTGTATTAGGTGTTGCTTGTATCGAAGAGCCGCCTGCCTTGTACGTTCGAGAAATAGGCGTCTGCGGCATCTCAGGTCGAGAAGGTGATTTGTTTTCCTGGAACTTCAATCAGTATACTCTGCGCAACCATTGTGAAAAAAAAACTTGCTTTCAGGGATCCAATGTCGTCGGCAGCTGTAACGTGGCCTTCCTCTTCATCTCCACTGACCACTCTCTTCTTGGCGTTCAATTTCGGCTTCGTCTTCGACTTTGTCGTTGTGACAGAAACTATGTCAAGGTCATCCCTCCCTCGATCCTCCATATACATCTCTGAGACTGTATCTTTATCTTTATCTTCATCTTCATCTTCAGACATTACCACCCTCCCTTTCTTGCCTTTCTTGCCTTTATTCAAACTCGCTTTACTCGAAGTCGACTGGCCCATATTGACGTCCAGGTCCAGGCCCCCGCTCAAGTCAACTACACCGTCAGCCGCGCCAAATGAGCCATGGGCTTCATCCTCGTCGTCACTCTTACGCATCTTCTTCCGCGTGCTCTGTCTTTGGACCTCGTTCATATCATCCAAGTCATCTCCCTGTCCATCAGAAGCATCTCGAGCTCGTTTGCTTCCAGGAGGTTGAGCATAAGGTTGAGGTGCAGGGGAAAAGGCGGCTGAAGTGTTCCGAGTAGGAATCGTTATCGTTGACATGAGCATTTCGTCAATGTCTCCGTCGTCCTCGATGAATTCGCGACTTTTTGACACAGCTTGAAGTTCCTTCTCCTTTCCTTTTCCTTTAGCCTTGATAGAGGACTTAGTAGACTTGCCCTTGTCTTTCGACGTCGCTGTTTTATCCTATGAGAAGTAATGTGAATCAACAAGTGAGCATCGATGAAAGTACCCACCTTGTCGTTCGCCTTCGCCTTCGATTTTGATTTCTTCCCTTTACCTTTCGGCTCAGTACCTGTCCAGTCTTCGCCATCGATCATGTACTCGTCTTCATCGTCGTTCACTTTCTTCTTTTTCGTCCGTGATTTCTTCACTTCGGGTTGCACAACAGGAGAAGGAATAGGAGGAGGAGGCATCAAGACCGAATCTATGACTCTGGTCGTGTGGATTTCTCTTGAGTTGGTGTTGTTGGTATTGTTGTTAGGAATGTTGGGATCATTATCTATCGGGAACGGAGATGAGGAAGGGTCTGCAAAGAACGGCGCAGGTGTAGGTGGTATGTTTGAATCTGTGAGATCTCTGTGAGCTCGGAGGACGAACGTCTCCGAGACGACGGAAGCAGAAGTAGATGAAGGGGGATTGGGCAGAGTTTCGATTGCAGGAATGTCAAAGTCTTCTGAAGGAGTAGACTGTGGTGGATCAGAGGGGGGAAGCATTATTGAAGAGGCTCGAATTCCATTCCGAGCAAGAGTAGGGGAAGTGGGAACAACGGGTAAGGAGAATGATGACGAATGGTTTAGATCAGGATCCGGAGAATCGTATCGCATATGATTACTTGTTGTAGCAGCAGTGGTCAGAGAAGAAGACTTTTTTGTTGTATTCTTCTCTGCCGTCTTCTTAGATTTCTTGGGTTTATTTTCAGGAAGCAAAGCTAATTCATCGTCAGAAAATATTTCGAGGATATCTGATTGTACATGTGCGCCTGAGGAACTGCTTGTATGATTTCCATCATTATTCCTTTTCCGCATCTTGGCACGATCAGCAATGCTCAGTGTCATATCAGACATTTCAATATGACTGGTATTGCCAGTAGAAGCGTTGTTGGAGCTATTTCCTGAGGATATGGCGCTTGTATGGCCGATATTTCTCGTGAGAGGCTTTGGCTTGGGTCGAGGTCGCGAAGTAGTAGCGGTAGCGGCGGTGATGATAGTGGATGTGGCATGAGCACGCGAAACAGTTGAAGAAAAGTTGGAGATAGAATCAATAGCAGTAGCTTTGCTGGTAGAAAATTCAGAAATTGCCGACACATTTGCCGAAGTCGATGCAGCAGAGGGAGTTGTGGTTGTAGGACCAACAACGGGTACTAACAAATATGAGAAGAATGAGCATCTGTGCTGGGAGATTACATATATAGCACACCAGGAGCAATTGGACCAAATAGCTCATCTTCACCCTCACTGTCTGCTATAATCTCGTCGTACATCCTTGGAGAGCCGCTAAATGGAGAAACAACGATCAACCGCGTCAAGTCGCGACTCTATTCACGTGACTACGCGGAAGGTACAAATTGAATGACTAATCAACGATGTTTCCCTCTTACTTCCGAATCCCGAATCCGACTATTTCCGATCTTGATTCTGACTATTGGTTAACGCTCCGTTTGCTTCGCGTATGTATGCTCGATGTAAATTGTACCCATGAACATCGGCTAGGCAGTCTGGTCCCTTCCAGTGCCTCCGTGCCTCCCGAAAATTTGCCGGAGAAGTCAGAGGACAGCTGAGGAGAGAGCTCCGCATATGTATGCCCTTCTCGTCTTCTCGGATCTGACCACGAAGATAGTCCGCTGTGTTCGCTGTAGTTTTTTGCCAGCTGAATGGCTGGGCTCATCCAAGGACAGGAGTAAGACTTATACATAGGCCATCCTTTCTGTTCTTTCGGATCACACAAACATGCGTACCTGGACTGCATGCTGGTTAAATCGTGTTAGGGTTCTCGAAAAAGTCAGCAGTGTCCAATCTCTTCTTCCACTTCATTTCTGTACTTTCCAGTTCTATCTGAACAATGGCAAACCCGTCCAACTCGGTCGATGAGCCAAGAACTAGCGATCGTTGTGCGTACCCAGATCGGCAGTCTAATTTTCCTAGCTAACTTCCCCCATGGACCGCAGTCAATGCATCCGATGCTGATGTTCTCATACGATCCTCCGATAATGTCGACTTTTTCCTGCACAAGAAAAATCTCGAATGTGCTACGGGAGGTTTCCCTCCTGCGGAGACACCCTCAGATCTCAGCGACGTCGTACGACTCTCCGAAACAGCAAACATATTAGAAATGCTGTTCACATGTATCTATCCTTGCCCATTTCCTTCATTAGAGGAACTGGACTTCGATACATTTATGCTGCTTGTAGAAGCGGCCGAAAAATATCAGTTCTTTGGTATGATTTGTGCGTGTAGGCTTCATATGAAGTACGTTGTATCTTTCATTGTTGGGTTCAGAAAGAAATATTTAATCTGAATGCTCTTTAGAGAAATCTTGTATCCTACAGATCCTGACTTCGAAAGCAACTTCACCTTGAAGCAGGACCTGCACATCAAAAGGATACAACTTTTACAATTTGCCATCAAGCATGACGTTCAAGATCTCATTGAAGAGCTTCGAACAATTCTGGTGAATGTTTCGTTATCGGATTTGGTGGAAATTCTCCCACCTCATATCTACATGCCTTGGGTAATTGCACAGTCTGCTGCGGAGTGAACGAGGTTTGACGATATTGCATTTCAGAGCCTCTATCGGGAACAAAAATTACTGGAGAGACTTAAGGGCAATGCAGAATTGTCCGTCTCAAAGCCAAAGAGACCTGAGATTCTTAATCTCAAACGTCGGAACCAGGTTATCATGATCAACTTTTGACATTCTTCCTTTGCATATCAGTGGTACATGTGTAACATATAGATCGATGTAATATACAGTTAGGCAGAAACGGTGTCGGAAACGAGATGATCAATGAATGCCCTACAACATTCAATTGAAGAAAAAGACAGACACGGTTGGTGAGACCGTCCCGGCTTAAGAGTGCAAATCCACCTGCAAGCCAGCCTCTTCAAGGGGAGAAAGATGAGTATGGATGAAATGGTCAACAATCAGATAAGAATGTTGGTGATTCAACACTAGGGTCAATGCCTGCAAACCAGATATGCCTATTGGGTTTCCCTCTGAAGACCGAAGTATGGCGCATCGAGACTCGATCATCTCGCAAATGCTTGGACACAGCGACGCCCGAGTGATCTCATACGGTCGGAATTTACAACCGAGTTCCAATGAGGAGAGATGCGGCGCAAGGCCTCCCTGATCGTTCAATTTGAGATGTTCCGTGAAGTCTCTTAGGACCTCGACAGATGAAATGTCAACACTCAAGGTGACAAGGGTGGGATGTACAGCGATGAAATCAAGCAGCGCCTCCTTGAGAGGACTAGACGTCATACGCACTCGTAACGTCTGAAGTTTGCACTGTGAATCAGCAAGCATTGTAAAGAAAGGTCCGTCGATGGATTGTCGGCTAAAATCTATTTGCAGGTGCATCAAAGATGGTAGACGAAGGAAGCTCCAGGCCCGCGAAGATAACTGCGTATTGGGGATTTGCAGCTTCACGAGGGAGGAATAGTGGAGTTCTCCTTGATCTATCTCTAGTGACTCCTCATCCGCATCCTCAGTGAGCTCAGGATTGAGCCGAACATATT